TGCTACCATGAGATAAGATTGGGTCATAAGTAGATGCAAAATCTAGATGTGGAATTTTTGTTGATATTGTCACTGGCCCAATTTACATCGGCATAAGCATTTAAAGAATGAGAACTAAAGATGATAATTCAAAGTGTTTGGGTTGTGCATGTACTGACTTAAATAATTTACAATGAATGTTATGTCAGGGCAGGAAACAAGTGAGATATTGAAGTGACCCTATAATTTGTCTGTGCAAATTGGGTTCTTTCATGAGTATGGGCGCGCCAGTGTGGTGATGGGAGGAAGAGGAGCTAGAACGAGCTTGGTTAGGGACATGCCAGTTTTGTGTAGCAGGCTAGTGAAGTATTGGGTTGGTTTAAGAAGTAGCCTTTTAAAGATTGTTGTATTGTAAGCCAAGAAAGTGTTAAATAGTCCCTAATTGTTTTAAATTAAATTGAGTGCTAAGAGCATGAATTAATTTGTTGATAGTAATGGAGGAGTTTCTAGTAATTAATATATCATTCACATACACTAGCAAATAAATGCATCTGTGATTATGACTATATATAAGTAATAACGAATCTGCGGTACTTAAGAGAATTTTTTGACTATACAAAAAGTTACATAAAGTAGAATTCCATTGTCTAAGATCTTGTTTAAGATCATATATAGCATTTTGTAGTTTGTATACATACTGAGGAAAAGTAGTGTCCGTACAACTTGGAGATTGTGTCATAAAGATGGTATCATCTTGTTTGCCATGCAAAAATCCTTAAGAGTCATCTAGTTGATGAGTTTCCCATTAGTTAGTGATAATTAAAACAATGATCAATCAAATGTTGGGAAATATTGCAATCAGACTAAAAGTTTCCTGATAATTGACTCAATGTTATCATTTAAAACCTTTGGCAACTAATCTAGCTTTGTACCTTGTTATGGAACCACCTGCATGGTATTCAGTTCTAAAAGTCCATTTGCACCTTAGTATAATATAATTTTGAAGGGAGGGAATAGGAGTCTATGTGCCCTATTATCATAAAGCAATAAACTCTTTAGACAATGCTTTGCGCTAATGTGGTTGTTGAATAGCTTGATGGTGTGTATGTGGAGCATTTATAGAGGTAGTAGCATGGTAAAGATAAAAAAATTGGGGTTGGTTTTAAACTTCTTGTTTCTTGTCTGGTGACCATATGATGTTGTTTGGTTTATGTAGTAATGTGAGTGTTACTTGGGAGTTCAGAATGTTGTGGGGCTAAGTGTAACAGTGATGCTTGAGGTGCTTCAATTTGCATAACGTAAGCTTCAATAAGGGTGCTGGAGTTATATGTGTGGGTGTTTTGTGGGAGAGGTAATGCTAAATGGAGTGGTTCAGTAAGTGTGTGAGATGGGATGTTGGAATGGGAATAATGTAATAGGGGGTGAGGAACTGTTAATTAATAGATGTGGTGATAAGCAGAGAGGGCAATAATGTAGGATGCATATTGGGAGGTTCATAAGAGGGTTATTGAGGGAGGGATTTACATGAAAAATGATCTTCAACAAAAATAGCATGTCTCAAGATGAGAAATTTAATTGCATGAATATTAATGCACTTATAACCTTTGTATTGTGGACAATACCTCAAAAAGAGACATTATGGAGCATTTGGAGAGATCTTATTGGAAATCTTCTATGGTTGTCAGGGAAAATATAGAAACCCAAATGTTTTTAGTTTTTGCTATTCATGTTTTATTTTTTTATAATAAAAGAGAAGGAGGTTTTTTGTTAGTGGTTGTAGAAGGAAGTCTATTTATGATGTAATTTGCAGTTTAAATAGCTTTCATTCAAAATTGGAGAGGAAGATAAGCTGTGTTAAGAAGAGTTCTAACAGTTTCTACTAAATGATGATTTTTCTTTCAGCAAGATCATTTTGTTCCTGGGTGTGTACACAACTGAATTAATGCTTGATTCTTTAATCTTACAAATAAACGTTAAGATAATTTGACATATATTTACCTCCACTATTAGTTCTCAATTATTTTAAATTTTCTTTGAATTGATTTCTTAACATTTTAAGCAGGGAAATAAAGTGTGTTGGCTTTGAATTGAATAATATACTATTCTTTGATAAAATAATGTTAGAATATTAATATGCATTAAAATTAGTTTAAAATTACATTTCAATTATAAATAACATCATTTTATTTATGAAATAGTTGTTGTTGAATTTTCTATATTCCAACATATTCTCTCTTCTTCCTTGCTTCTTTTCAAGAAAAAATCTTAAGGAGAGAAGTCTTCATTTATATTCCAAGTATGCTACCAATTTGCAAGTTTAAATCTATTTTTTTTTTTGGGAAGCCTCCATAGAATCAATTAATCAAACTCCCTTGAAGTTTTTTCAAGTTTTTTTTTTTTTATTCCCTTTAAATATTTCTTTGCTTCTCTTAAAATTTTCATCTTTTATATTTTCCAACAAATTATATTTTCGATAAAATGCTTATTGAACATCTTAGATCAATTTTCATATAGCTAAATGTCCTCATTCATAGATTTAGTAAGCATATCTTAGTTTAATATATATCTATTTTTTAAAAGCAATAAATATTAAGAAATGTCATTAAAATCAAAGAGTTAAAATATTTTAATTTATATTATTTACATAATTCAAAATATAAAGATATTTCATAGTGAGCAAAATTTATATTCCATTTTCAAGCTTGTGAAGTGATAAAAAATACTGTGTAACTTCACCTTTAAATTATTGTTGGATTATCTAGTTCAAAAAATATTTTGAGTTTTTATGATATAGAAGTTTTTTATATTTCATTTGACTTAGGAAATATTATACAGTATCTAGACTGAGATGTATTCGCTCGTTTATAAGAGTTCTTATATTGCAAAGACCACGTAAAAACATTATGCTTGTTATTTACTTTCACTCTTGACATCTTGCAATTTACTTGAGTTACAATATTTAAATTTTTTATTAGCTAATACCTTTACAAAATAGCATTAAAATGAGATTAAATATTTTAATTATTCAAAACCTTTTGACCTCTTGAGATGTCATAACTATCCTACACATCTCATTTATAAAAATTTGTTGATTACAAAGCATAACCTCACATAGCTTTTATTTGATCTGAATATGTTGTTATTATTATTATTATTATTATTATTATTATTATTCTATATAAATTAAAATTAACAAAAAATGGTTAAATAAATTCATTTCATTCTAACCAAGAAATTTGTTTTTTTAAAAATTCAATGTATGTTCTCAATGGCAACTTACATTTCTTGGGTAATTTTGAAAATTTTGCAATTAAATATTTTTTATGTTTATTAACAAAAATTATCAATTAAATCTTATATTGTATAAATAAAATCAAATTTAATACTTTCTAAAATTCCTCCTGACAAAGTCTTTGTCAGAATTGTCATGCCACTTTCTTCCTCCAATAATTGCATGTTGAATATTCAATTAAAGCCTTTCTAACTAATATTTTATTGGCATAAAATTTAATTGATCAAGGGTCTGTTCGGGTCAACTGCAGCTTATTGAATAACCTGCTGATAAGTTAGGTGTGTTGGCTATTACAATTTTTTAATTTTTTTGGGAAAGTCAGACCGCTGCAAGAAAGCTGTCAGCGTTTTGAAAACGCATAAGCTGTCAAAATATAGTTTACCCAAACATGTCAGGTGCGTTTTCAAAACGCCACCGCACCAAATAAGCTACCCCAAACTGACCCTAAATTTACTTTTGCCTAATATATGCAATATTATTTATTTAAATTATGCCCTCATCTTAAAATTGGATTTAAGAACTTTAAGACCCAGAATAAATAAATAATTTAGTTAATTTCAGATAAGACTATTCTGACCAAAATAATCTGCATTAATTTAATAAGGACAGAGGCGGTGTATTCTGGCGCAGGTTCTATTTAATTAACCTATCCCGTGGAATTTAATGTTCAAGGCTTCAGGTGTTCCTGTCCATAACTTGGGACAAATCCGACTTCACTTCAAGACTTATTAATGTAAAGTCCATTATTCTTATTAATAGATAATTTTATAATAATTCAACTTCCCATCAAATGGGGGTATTTACGTAAATACTACACAATTCTTACATATTTAAATATATTATAGCAAACTATCCATCAAATCCAATGCTAAAAATTAAGGATCCATTTAAGTTTATTATTATTACTATTATTATTATTACAAAATAATATCAATTTAGTATTGGAAAAATAAATTCTTTGTAATTAAAGAAAAAAATTTCTATTTTTATTGCAAGATTGTACCGACACGGATCGCGAGATCCAACTGCCCAGAAGGAAGTATAACAAAGGAGAGTCAACTGACAAGAGACCAAGAGACTCATTTATCCAATTGCATGCAATCATCTGAGCCAATAACCAACGACAACCCAGCCAACTGATTTTTGACAACAGAAAGTCAAAAATCAAAAATAAAAATGAAAATATTTAAATTTAATATATTTTTATTCTATGATAACTGAATAAAAATAAAATATTATATTATAAATCTTCACACCAGGCTCTGCTCGTGTTCGACTCATTTATATTTCGAGCTCAGAGCTCAAAAAGTGTGTGTGTGTTCGTGTTCGGCTCGTTTTGATTTGAAATACTACAAATCAAATGTGTGTGTATATATATATATATTTGATGAGTAGTACTAGGTAAGAAGGGAGGATACGATCACTACCTTGGAGAGGATACAACCAGAGCACTACCACCTCTTCGGACACAGTTCACAAGGGGAAATAACGTCTACATTTTTTATTTGTAGTATTTCAAATCAAAACGAGCCGAACACGAGCTTCTCAAAGAGCCGAGCACGAGCTGCTCGCGAACAACGAGCCGTTTTGACAGCCCTATCTGCACTTTAACTTCCAATTTATTTTTTTTTTATTTTTTTTTAAAAAAAAATTTAATTGTAACTAAAAAATAGCTAGGGAAAAAACTTCAATCGCCTCATGATTTCTTTTTTAATGCTTTTATCGTCTTCATTTTTGGGAAATAGATCAAATGACATCTAGTCTGCCTTTTCCTTTCCAAAGATGACCCTTTCCCTCCGCAGCCTGCAGTAATCCCCACGTATTCTATGATCTATATTCTATTGCCACGCCTATTCTTCGTCTCCTCGCTTCTCCTGTTCCTCCTTCCGTAGAAAAACCAAAGCAAATAGTACCCAAACTATGGCCGGCGCAGCCAAACCCGTCTCCGGCATCCGCAGCAAACCACACTTGAAACACTTCAACGTAATCAACATCACTCTCATCTTCCTCCTCTGTTCCATCTCCTACCTCGTCGGCGTTTGGCAACGCAGCGGCGCCACCACTGCATCCACCACCACCACCTCCCTCATCGCCACCGTTCCCTGCGACCGAATCGACGTCTCCCTCCCCACCTCCTTATCCTCCGAAACAACATCCCAACTCGACTTCACCGCCCACCACAGGGCCGATGACTCCCTCGCTCTGGTTTCGGCAATCCGCCACTTTCCACCGTGCACCGCCGAGCTTTCCGAATACACTCCTTGCGAGGACGTACACCGTTCCCTCAAGTTCGTGCGCGACCGTCTCATATACCGTGAGCGGCACTGCCCTGCAAAGGGCGAGCTTCTCAAGTGCCTTATTCCGGCACCGCCGGGTTATCGAACTCCGTTCTCGTGGCCGGCGAGCAGAGAGCTTGCCTGGTTCGCTAACGTGCCGCATAAGGAGCTCACTGTTGAGAAAGCGGTGCAGAACTGGATAAGAGTTGAGGGCGACAAGTTCCGATTCCCCGGCGGCGGCACCATGTTTCCCAATGGTGCGGACGCCTACATCGATGATATCAATCGCCTCATCTCTCTCAGCGACGGCTCTATCCGCACGGCGATCGACACTGGTTGTGGGGTAAGTTTTATTCTTTACTCTGTTTCTCTTCCTCGGAGTCGCCGGCGACCGATTTTGGGCCAAAGTTGGGATTTTTAACCCCTTTTAAATCTTTAATGGGGAAGAATTTAGCGAATAGTTTGTATTATTTTTCTCTGGCATAGGTGGCAAGCTGGGGAGCTTTTCTTCTCTCGCGGAACATCCTAGCCATGTCTTTCGCTCCGCGGGATTCTCACGAGGCGCAGGTTCAGTTCGCTCTCGAGCGAGGCGTGCCGGCGATGATCGGAGTCATGGCTTCCAATCGCCTTCCTTACCCCTCTCGGGCTTTTGACATGGCGCACTGCTCCCGCTGCCTCATCCCTTGGCATCAATATGGTAAGTAAGAAAAAAACTCACCAACGAAGGAATCAAAATCTGTACTTTTCATCTCCCTTCTCCGGAAGTTGCAGGATTGCGAATACTAATCACCGATCAAATTCGCAGACGGGCTATACCTGATCGAAATCGACAGAATTCTCCGGCCTGGTGGGTACTGGATCCTCTCCGGCCCGCCTATCAACTGGAAGCGACATTGGAAAGGGTGGGAGAGAACACAGGAAGACCTGAACGCAGAGCAGAACTCCATTGAATCCATTGCACGAAGCTTATGCTGGAAGAAGATAAAGGAGAACGGCGACATCGCTATCTGGCAAAAACCCACCAACCACGTTCACTGCAAAATCAACCGTAAGATCATCAAGCTCCCACCTTTTTGCTCCTCTCCGAATCCGGACTCCGCTTGGTACATAAAGATGGAACCTTGCATCACCCCCCTCCCCGAAGTCGATAACATCAAAGACGTTGCCGGCGGCGAGCTCAAAAAATGGCCTGAGAGACTCATGGCCGTGCCTCCAAGGATAGCAAGTGGCAGCATCGTTGGCATCACCGCAGATAGCTTCAGGTTGGATTCTGAACTGTGGAGGAAGAGAGTAAATCATTACAGGAGCGTGATTCCGCAGCTTGGGGAGGAGGGAAGATATCACAACCTGCTTGACATGAATGCGAAGCTCGGCGGCTTCGCAGCCGCACTTGCGGACGAACCGGTATGGGTGATGAATGTTGTCCCAACAGAGGTGACTACCAACACACTTGGCGTCGTATACGAGCGTGGATTGATCGGAACGCACCAAGACTGGTTAGTTCCTGCAAAATTTCGCATTTTGAGCATGAATTAAGTTTATAATCCAACCTAATATATTGTAAAAATCTGCCAGGCATGTTGGATTTGTCATTGACGAACCCTCTTTTTTTTTTCTGAATTAAAATTTATTATGTCTGTTTGTATTGGGATCATCTTCATCATTCATAATGGTAAACTTTAAATTCTTTTGCCTGCACAGAAGCGAATTTGCGCTTAGATTAATGTTCGATTTACTCCAAAATCAGTTAATACTGAAAACTAGTTATCTGGGACCAAATTTATCTTAATTATTGATTGTTAGTGTACACAAAAAATATGTAAAACATATAGAAAGATCTACCAACTAGCTATCATCCGTCGAGCCATAACAAAGAGATCGGTCGAAACTAAGACCAATTGGCCAAATACAGACCGATCAGTCTAGGACGGGCCAACCAACTTAAGGCTTATCGACCGGCATTGGCCCATCACCTGGGAAAAAGCTCTATCAATGGATATATCAGAAACATGTACAAAGTACTAAAATAACCCTCATAAATCTAATGATTAGAGGGCATACATGAATCTTAAATCGATACCCCTTATGCCTAATTACCTGTAAATAGGGTCATTTCGTATTTTACTGTTCACTTCTGTCTCCTCTCTACTACCCTGTTCTCTCTTTCACTCTATTACTTGAACTAAGCTCTGCTTTTTTGTTTTTCCTGCAGGTGTGAGGCAATGTCAACATATCCAAGGACCTATGATCTTCTCCATGCTGACTCCTTGTTTACCCTCTATAAAGATAGGTTGGTGATTATGCAACAAAAAAATTGTTTGGATTACAATTATTCATCTATTTGTTCAAATAATAGCAGATAATGTTTTTTTAAATATTGCATCGCAATCATAGAGCTGTTTGGTACAACGTGATTATAAGAAACTAATTTTGAGCTGACTCCAACTTGGCTCGAAATCAAATCCTTACCCGCCCTACTTCATCTATCTTTAAGATTGATCTCGGTGTCGGGCATGTGTTGCAGGTGCGAGATGGACGATATACTTCTCGAGATGGATAGGATTCTGAGGCCCGAGGGGACAGTGATTATACGAGACGATGTGGATGTTGTGATTAAGATAAAGAGCATCACAGAAGGGATAAAATGGGAGGCTCAGATATTGGACCATGAGGATGGCCCTCTTCAAAGGGAGAAGCTTCTTTTGGCAGTGAAGACCTACTGGACTGCAGATGCCAAAGACCAGAAGGTTTCGGGTGCAATTTCATAGTTGTTAAGGAGCTTTTTTAATTATTATTTTTCCATTAATTGTTATTATATAGTTGAGTCAAATGGCTGTGTATTTGTTTCCAAATAAATACTAGCGCGGACCAGATAGATGCAGATTTGATAGGTATTGTGATGAAATACCACCACAATACCAACAAATACCATCGAATAACAACACGAATTCACATGTGCGGATTCCGCACGAAATATTGGTTATGTAATTTCATTTTTTATGAGGGTGGGATTCTTTATGTATCGCTCAACTGCAACGGCAAGTTGGAGTTTGGACGGACCACAAGTATGTATCTTATCATTATTATTAATTTTATCAAATTATCTGCTTTTATTATAATAATGAGCGTTGATTAGGACTTACTCTTCCTCTATTTAATGATATCATTATCCCAACTTGAAACTAGGCAATTATGATTTATTTATTCCTTTCGCAAGGTTTTTAAGGGTACCCCGTTTTAATTTCTAAGTCTATTTTAATGACATTTTGGTATGTACATAAGTGTACGTTTTATGCTTTCATTTGGTTGGTCTCATTGTAGGGATTTGTTGACTAAATAGTTGACATAATGGTTTTTAGTGGCATGCAACAAATCAACTTATGGGACGTGCAGGGCAGTTGAAGCTTTTATGTAAAGGTTAAGTCTAGGGGATTTATTTTATTTAAAAGTTGTTATTTAGGCATTATAATTTGGTTTAAATATACATCAATTTGCCAGCATCTACCAAAACATGAACCACTCAAGCTTGTTCGTTCGTTAGAGAATAAATCGGACAACAAAAAATCAAACAGATAGATCTAATCTTTAATTTATTTTTTTTTCATTTCATTAAAAAAAAATATACTATAGATGTTTAAAAAATATTTTTTTTGTATAAATTTAGGATACATGTGTGTCCTTTTTTTTATTTTAATATTATTTGAATTAGATAAGTTAAGGATGTATCCGACATGTGTTTGGGATATGTCAGGCGAGTGTCGAGGCCTGAGAAATGTGTTGTTGAATCCAAAAGTGTCCGGGAAACACACATGAGGTAAAGAAATTGAGTCAAGAGAGAGTGTAGTAGAGAATCACAATAATACATAACTTTTTATTCATGGTATGGGTCCCTATTTATAGGGATGATCCTCAGTCTTACAAAAGGACATGACAGACCCCTTATGATTAGTTTTTAGAAGGGTTTTTTAATAATTACAAATATATTTGAATATAATAAGATTGACATATTGATATCGGTCCGCGAGAATTTCATTGGTCGTTCGCTTGACCTCTACTCCACTGATATTTGATCTCAAACTCAACAATCTACCAATCGACCTTAAGGCCGATTGTCATTCAGTGGTAAATCCTTTAGCACGTTCTTACGATCGATTGATCCAAACGCTTCCCTTATTAGCATTAATCCGTTGATCGCTAACAGGAATGTCGATCGATTGTGTCATCCTTCTGAGCCATTTATTCTATCATGAGATCCATGTTGACATTATTTTTTGTGCATGTCAGAATGATTATTTAGTTAGAATTACTCATTAGCTGAAATCCTTCATGAAAACATTAAAAACCATTATTACTGGCAAGGCCAAGAAAATCACATTTACTGTAAAGCATACTAACTTCTTTAATATGAACATCTTGTTCGTACCGGCTAGTTTCATCAACCTTAGTGTCGCTGACGAATCTCTGTAGCTTTTCCAATCAATAATCCGGACAACCTCACTTCAAATAGCCATGCACAACACTGCACCACTCTTACTGGAAACAGCCTGACAATATTAAATACATTCCTGAAATCTAGCATACCTGACAAATGAATGAGGCTTTGCTGAATTTCATGCCAGTACTGGCATTATGGCTTCCCTCCAAGGTGTGGGTTTCCTTCACCATGGCAGGATGTTGAAGTATGTTCTTTAAGCTGCCCATCTTTTGATCAATGATGCAACTATGGTATTTCTCTAGATTAAGAAGTTAAAGTAGAAGATTATTTTGATTGGCATCAATTCTACAACAAGCATACTGTTTTACAAGGTTCTCTTAAATTGACTTGCACAACAAAACTATTTTTGAATGATTGTCTTTATCAAACCCATAACCTATGGAGACCAACTTATATGGATTTAGTTGGTAAACCTGAAGTGCAAATTGCGAGATAAATATGTTTCCTCATGTTACGATGGATAAGTTCCTTGAAACAATCAAAAGTTATGCATAGGACACATGATAGTGACGATATACTTATGCCAATTCAAACAACTTATCCTCCCTTGATAATCACTTTGAATCAGGATGAAAAAAAATGGTGAGATTTGCTAATGGCCATTAACATGATCTCAAAGAGCTAGACAACTTGTGCACAACTACATCATTTGATAATAATTTCTATTAGCCCAAGCTCAATTAAGAAATTTTCAACTCATATGCTATTTAACTCTAAATCACTTTTGGGTCATATATGTCATCATTGTAACCCTTTTTCTAATGTAAACATAAATGAACTCTTCAATAATATAAAAACAACTTTGGCAATGATTCTCACCCATTGATTTAAATTAAGCATTTTGGAATAAGTTAAACCCTAAAGTTCATTTTGCCACCAAATACACATACTATTTTGTAATGCCCATATAAAACTACATTACTTTACACATAAGATGGTTGGGTTGATAATTATGTGGTCACTTTTGCCGGATTTGCTATGACATGCTACCTACATATGCAACTCAAATTCTATTTAACGAACATAGCTACATAACTTTGGTGACTTCCATTATGTTCAAAAAGACATTTATAATTCTAAAAATTAAGGTAATTGGAATTAACATGTAATAGCCAAGTATCTAATATCTTGGCCATGTTTTACTCTCGAGAATATCTTCATAATCGAGATGACTTTGAAATTCCTCTGTTTGTTTCTAAAATTTAAAGGATTTTTTTATTGTTAATTTTTTTTCATTCAATTAGTGCACACTTACTACATATTGCTCTCCTCATTTTTATGATGCTCAAATACGATCCTTCTAAATTTCCACTCTGACATAGTAAAAACAATATGCCTAAACTTGACAATGATGAACAATAAAAATGAAAAGAAGTCGACATTGAAAAGAAAGAAAAGAAAAAAGTTACAAGAAAATGATGAAAAATAAAGATAAGAAACGACATTGAAAGATGAAGACAAAACCCAAAGTTAAAACAGTGCTACACCTCTCCAAACTTTAGAGCTTGAGATATAACTATAAGAATTTCTGGAGTAATCCAAAATAAGAACCAAAAAGTAACTACAAGAGCTTCTCCAACGAACTTAAAGAATAGAATGTTGGTGGTGCATATTGACTTAGAGTCTAACTCAAAGGATGACTCATGCACTATATGTTAGTCTATCACCTCTATGAAATTAGAAACCTCATGAAAGATCTCCCAATAAGAACATGATGAAAACAAAAGAATAGTTACTCAAGGCCACTATAAGTTTGAGTCATCCAAGAAAACATTCATATATGATCATTTATTAAAAAAACAAAGTTATTTATTAAACAATCAAATTTATTATAACATTTAATTCTCTCATTCTTATCATAGTATATTTTTCTAAGATATATTATAATCGGAAAATTAAATATATACAACCAATATGTGGTTGCTTGAAATGATAGAAACCGAATGACTCTCATTCCACCAACAAGAAGAAGGGCGATAACGAAAATAATTTTGAGAGAGGAGAACAAGTTTTCTTCATAATTAAAACTAAGTGCTCAACAAATCAAGAAAAGAAATCAACAAAGCACTCATAAGAGAAGTCGACCACGACAAGCCAGCCATAGACAAATAACCAAGAGAGGTTGACTATAGGATGCCGACAGCGATAGGCCTACCACAAACAGGTAACTATGAGGGACCAATTGCAAGAAGTTGGCTCAGATGGTCAACAATGATAAACTTACTGCAAGAGGCTAGTCACGATAAACCAATTTAAAAAGATCGAGCCTAAGAGTCTCCCCCGAAGCATAAAATTTACCCACCTAAACGGGGAAGTCAATAGAAAGAAGACTTCCCCAAAATCCTAATTCTTAACTGAAAATATGACCGAATTAGACACTTATACATTTAACGTTTAGAAATGATAAATGGGAAACATTAAATATAAGCACTATTCAAATCCTGCCATTCAAAAAACTTAGGAATAATCTCCTAATCCCTACACCTTGCCTATGTTGGTCTTAAATTACTCTGCTCTCTCTCTCCTTCCTCACATTTTATTCCTTGGATTATAACATAAAGTATGTATCTATTTATATAAAATATGAGCAGTAAGGAAGAAGCGACAGCAGGTAAGCCCAAAATGTAGCTACAGAAGTAAATGAACAAATATTCCAAGCTTCCATTTTTCCGCTTCACAAGGCTTGGGTGGAGACTGTTTTAAGTGCGATTTGATTTAACCATGCAAAACTTCTGCCTTTCCGCAAAGACAGCTCACGGCTTCTGCACTTTCTCAAGCAATCTCTGAAAAGCTAATCATTCACAAAATTAACTTTGAAGGGAACCGTCAAAATATTAGGTGAGAGCCACGTTGATAACAATCATTTTGGCAGTTAGATTATTTTTTGATTTGTTAAATTTAATAGTTTTTTCCTGAGCGAGCAAGCGTAGCGGAGCTCGCGAATGGAGTGGAGCCGAAACATTTGTCCAATCGGGAGAGTTACATTATGTGGGTTCGGGGTGCAGGGGCAACGCCCTCGCGGTACGATACATGAGTAATTTTGTAATTATATATTGTACTCTAGGGTTATATATATGCCTTGTTTTGTAACCCTAAAAACATCCTGTACTCTTTTTCTGAATTGAAAGAAAGTCGCCGCTCTGCTCTCGAAGACGTAGGCATCTTTGCCGAACCTCGTTAAATCTTTGTATTTTCTTATGGATTTGTGTCGGTTCTTGTGTTTCTTAGCCCTAAATTTCTCAACAAAATACTATAGTAAATCTTTCTAAAATATAATATGAGCAGGGCAATTAACGGTCCGATGTCGAGCCGAGCTGGATTCGATTTGAAATCAGCTCAGATGGATTTAATGCGGCTCCAAATCGGCTCGTGGGTTATTATATTTGTTTTTTGGCCGAGCTGGCTTGAAACTGAATCGAGCTCAATACCGCTTGAAATCGAAACAAGGTGCTTAAGTTGAGTTAGTTGGATTAATTTTAGCCTGAAATCAGCTCAAAATGGTTCAAAACTGAAACTAACTAGCTCAACTTGAGTTGTTAGATCCGTTTTAGCTCGAAACTGGCACACGACTCGTTATATTCAATCTTACTCAAGGTTTTA